AAACAGCTTGGCTGGCCACCACTTCTACCATCTTTGATCCTTGTTCATCGTGGGATGTCACTGGGGCATACCCCTCACATCCCTCACTGAGAATCCCCAAATGCACCCAGACCACAAAGCAGCGAGGCTCAGACTTCAGGAGGCATGAGTCATCCGGAAAGCCTGTAAAATACAGATTCCTGGGCCCTCTCATTCTGAGATAATAGGTTATGGTGGGGCCTGCATGTTAGACAAGTTTTCCTGGGATTCAGAATTAGACAAACACTGTTCCCGACACTGAGAAACAATGTCATAAAGATGACTATTTTAGAACATACAAGATTTTCATGTTAAGTATCATGATTTGCTCTTGGGTGTGGCTCAATTCCATCATGATTATCTTTTACTGTCCCCACAGCTAATTTTTTTTTAATTAAGTGGCAAAAAATTGTGCTCTGGTCCCCCTAATTTTAGTCACCACATCCTCAAAGAAATATTGTCTATGTGCCCTTCATCTGGAACCTGTTTCATTCGGTATTTATTTCTGACGCTGAGGCTGCTAAGCACTTGAAATATACATTATGCAGGAGTGCCTCGGTTCTGTAGTCATCACAATGACACGAAAAGTCTTAGGGGTTTTGTTTTTTTCTGCACAGCAGGTTGGCAGTCATTCAGCTACAGTGTAATTCAGTCCTGAGGCTCACTTCACTTTAAGCAGTTCATCTCAATTCCAATCATTATGTTCAAAGGCTTACTCTACCCAGATGCCAAGTTTCCTCAACTGGTCAAAAGCATAGCAGAAATATTTCTGTTTGGCAAGGCCAGGCAAATTTTTGGAGGTATTATCATGCCGCGGCAGAGCACTAGTCAGGTTGTAATTTGCCTTAATTGTTCCTCCCACAAACAGCAACAATAATTACCTTTAGGTCACTGGCACTCAATGAAGGATTTCTTCCCAGCCACTGAAACCACCAGGGTAGGTTCTGCAAACACCTTACTCAGGATTAGTCTGCAAAGAATCTCAGTTGCTGTCCATTCAGTTGACTGATCTGGCATGTTTTTTAATGGGTTTAGTCATAATCTTGCCTATGTATGTGTGTACACATTAGAAACATGGAAATAACTCAGAGAAATCACTGGTCTCCCATAAAACCACCAAAGGACTAGAGGCACCATTTCTCCCACCTGCCTTGTAAACACAAGGCACCTCAAGGAGAGTTAGCTTCAAACCCAGCCATCCACCTGCCTCCCAGTTCTAAGGGGTAATTACTGCCTCCACTAAGCAAAGAGAATTGCATAGCACGCTGCTAACTAGTCAGGTGACTGCTGCACATGACGGGCTTCCCCAGGTCACTAGCTCTTCTTATAGTGGCTGGCGTGGTGGTACATGGACAAGCACAAACACAATGCACTACCACCATGAGAGGGGAGAAAAGCAGACAGAGGTCTAGATTCAAGGGGCCACACCCAGAACACAAATCATAAATATGGGTTTTTTCATTTCTAGTGAGAATGTTAAAACAAGAAACATGGCAGGGGAGTGAGAGGGAAGGAAGATAGGATGGTTTTATGCCAAAGCACTGGTTAAAAAAAACTACATTAAAAATAAAAGAAAGGTCATGAAAGGAGAGTTTTTTCCTATTAACTTACTATTAACTGTACTTCCTTATGTATTTTTTTTGGTAAAAAAGAAAGCATGAGTTAACATAAAAATGTGCAATGTTTTGCTTGCCACGCACACAAAACAGGACCTGGCCTCCAATACAATATAAGCTTAACTGTGCCCACCTGAGGTCACAGTGACTAAGACTGAATATAAACTGTAAGGAATGGACTCTTTTAATAGGAGAAGGAGGTCCCAGTGCAAAAACATATGTGCTGATGAAATGCACCAAACATATGCATCTCTTCGGAGAAATTTTGCTAATAAGAAGCTATTAAAAGAAGAGCTCTTTGGGGACACGCCCCAAATGAATTGCAAAAGGTCATACACAACTCCTTCCCTCTGAAATGAGAAAGAGACAATATACAAATTAGCATACAGAATATCAAATTATGAAATGTTCCTTGTCAAGGCTCCCATGGGAAGGAAAGCAGGAAGGCAGTGGAGGCAGGGAAGGAATAGAGAAAGTAGGTAAAAACGGATAGGTCATTCTGAAAACGGTGCCCAGGCTTTTAATTTCACAGATCAGTAAAATTAAAGGAAAAACATGAGGGTGGGGGTGAAGGACACGTCAACATAGTTGTCATTTATTTTGCTGAAGTATAACTCCAACCCCTGTTAGGACTTTTTGTTATAACACAAATGATAGAAAAGCCAGACTCTCAAAATAAAGGGTAATCCTCTATATTGAGTAAATTTAACTTTATATAAACTCAGTGCATTATCTTTCTTTTAAAAACTGAGTATCTTAGAATATATGATGCTCTTTATAATTAATACAGTCTTTGATACAAATTTGGGGAAAATCTAGTTGGCAGGTCTAAAAATGTAATTTTCAAATTAAATTACACAGTGTTTGAGTAACATCTTCCTCTATAATTTTACTAGCAGATTGTCAGAATTCCTCTAACTCTGTATGCCTTCTTTCACATTAGTGAATGTGATGATTTATAAAGAAGACAAACTTATGCTGAATGATCACAGGAAAGTTATGAAGCTAAGGCAGCAACAGACATTCTAAATAGATTACCAGAGTTTCATTCTAGCAGAGGATGGCATTTTTAAGGTGTGCGTGCACCTTGGCCTCAGACTTAACCGGAGTGATAACCAACACATATTCTAGCTTCCGTGTTAAAGTGGCTGCATTGAAACCAGCTAATTCCCCCTGCTGGTTGGACATATTTTACATTCTCTACCTCACTGCTTGCAGCTTTAATGCTCCCCATAGTACCAAACCCATTTATTTCCCATCCACCGACTGATCTCCTAAAGCATCATTAACACGCCCCCAAAGACCTTGCTCCAGTCAATTTTAGTCAGCGCAGCACTTAGAAACCGTCGTGGGGTTTTACCAGGGCTCTTAGGAAAGGAAAGCCAAGAAGGACAAGGCACCAACCCAAACCTTGGGGAATCGCCAGGCAGGAAGATGAGACTCAGGAACAGAGCGAGTCCAATCTGCAGTCAGGATGCAAGGTGAAAAAGCGAAAGGTAGACACCCTTTATAGACACCCATCATTAGATGCTTCTGCCACTCAATTCTCAGCTAGTTAATGGCAGAAGGATCAATATCTACTTTCAGTTTCCATGTACAGCATCATGGCCCGACTGGGAGACAGGTCCCCTGGGAAGGCGGGATGATCCAGGAAACGGGTCTTGGGGATAACGATTCATGACCAAAATTAATGATTTTATTCATCTGCCAAATATATTTTCTAAGATCTATTTGGAGTTTTTCTTTTGTTTTGACCAACTTTTTCTTTCTTTCTTTCTTTCTTTTTTTTCTGGCAACACTGCTTACCCTGAAGTCAGTCAGAGAAAAAAATGTTTATGTGGAGAGAATTTCGGGAATAAATACGTAATTGAGTTATGTAAACAAAGCTGTGTCAGTATGAAATAGTATCTCTTGGGTTCATCCACATTCAAACAGAGTGATTCCTGAGCTCCGAAATGGAGTGAAAGTAAACAGTATTACATTCTGCAAATACAGCTCCAGGTTCTAGGAGTCTTAACCTCTCTGGCTGGTCAGTTTTCCTATTGTTTTCTTCCTGGGAGTGTCAGGCAAACCACCAGTGGGTTTCTATTTTAAGCTGGATTCAGATAATTCAAACAGCAATAATACGTTTTAAAATATAATATTTTGATAGACTTTTTTCTTTCAAAACCAACAGAGAATCTGAGGCATTATAGAAAAAAAATTTTTAAATAGACAGCAGAGTATTTCTAATATACAACTTATGCTTTCGATGGAATTATTTTGTGAAAGTATAAAATAAATCTAAAGTTACACTTTAAAAATCCCTGAAAAATGTAGTTTCCAGTAATAAATACAATGGAATACTGTATTCTGCTAAATTAATCATAGCATCTTGATTCGTATGTCCCTTCTCATCTACGGGTTAATCTTCAAATTACATTTTTCCTAAATAAGCTCTAAAAATGATCCTCTATGAAACATTCTTCATGAATCACAAGACAGCCACACCTTTAAGTTTTACCCAAATTCCTAATACTTCTCAAAGAATACAAGTCCTTTTAAGTCACATGCTTCAGTGAGTACAACACGCTGTTGAGTGATTATGGTGGCATCTTCAGGAGCTGGGAAGAGCTGTGTGCCTTTACCAAATATGCTCACAATTCTAAGGAAATTTCCTTAATCATGCATCAAAACTGACATATGTTCTTTGTATTAAGAACCATCATTTATTAAGCATTTCTACAAGCCAGGCTCTGTGCTAGGAGTACCTTTAGTATGTGGTCTCTTTCAACCTCACAGCTACTCTACACGGTAGGCATCATCCCATTTTATGGATGTAAAAACTGAGGCTTAAGGAAGTTAAGCAACTTGCTCAAGGTCACACAGCTTGTAAGGGGTGGAAAGGCTAGGGATTCCGACGCAAGCCTATAAGATTACAAAGCCTGTGCTCCTACCCTCTAAAGTACAAGGTCAGGCTAGTGCTAGGATATAAACCACCTTGATCTTAATCTCATGCATTAGGACTTGCTTTATCTTTGGGGATTCCATAAATTGAAGTACATAGGCTTACAAAGATTGCTAATATACAATGCAAGCTAACACATTTTCCTGATTTAATGAAAGAATACATTTTACAAGCAGTCATAGAAACAAGAAGTTAGGTTTCACACAGTAAATTATAAACTAGAATAACGTATAAAAACAGGTATGAAATTCCCCTACATGGACACATTTGCAACTGCTGCATTTGCAGGTCGAAACCAAAAGGATGCAACCTCATACCATTCATCCTAACAACAGAAGTCAAGGCCTAGACTCTAAGGAGCCCACTCTAGCTCCATTCACAACGCCCTGGCAATGTACACACTTGGGTGGATACCGTACCTGAGCAGAAGCTGTTGCTGCTGATGGTCCTCGCCGAGCGCCCAGAGCTGCTGGGGTTGAACTCCCTGCTCTCTTCCTCAGAGAAGGGGGACTCAGAGGCCGGGGACACTTTGTGCTGTTGCTGAGGCAGATGGGGCCGAAGAATCAAACGGGGAATCCGGCTTCGGGAAATCTCCTTCTCATGATGCTGCACCCTCTGCTCCTTCTCCAAATTGGACATCAGAAAGAAAACAAAAGGACACTTGTTGCCTCCTCTGAACTCCAGTCTGCTCCTTCTGGGCTCAGTTTCCAAGAAACCACATTTCTGAATATTGAATCTTCACAGACTAGTCCTTGTTGCAGAAGCTAAAATGAGCTCCAAAACTCTTCTACTGAGCTAAGTCTTTTAATTTACTGAAGAGCACACACTCCAACATGGATGTGTACACAATACACCACACACACACACACACACACACACAGAAGCATGCACACTTCCAGCCCGCTCGCAAGAAGGCTATTCCATTCTCCCATGTGATTCCTAACTCATTTTGCCGCCGTGGCTTTTCCTGTCACTCTCAAAGGCTGTTTACAACTCACAGCTCACTCCGGCTTATTACTTGATTTTCTTCAGACTTCCATTTTGCTTTCCCTGAATTAGCTGTGACAGTTTGACTTCTGTTTTCCTGTCTCCTCACAAAGTAGACCCCTATACCTGAAACAAATCTTTTCTGATAGATCATGAAACCTTATCTTTCAAATCCCTCCTCTTCCGGCCAGGTTCTTAATTATTCATTAATATCCTGGTACACAAGGCTTGTTGCCAACAGAAGAGCAAACAAAAATTCAATACCCGGTAAGATGGCTCCACCTTTTAACTCATGGTTAGCTTTTGCTTTCCTTACAGGGCATCCCTGCAAAAAAGATCTTTCTCTCCCTCCTTAAAAGCACAGCATTAAATGCATAGGGCCATGCCTTGGCTTTAAAAAATACATAAAAAGTAATATTTTGGCAATATCTTCCAGTTTTTAAAGTGCTTTCCCAATCGTTATCTTGTTTGATTTTTACAACTCAGGCCATAGCGGAGACACTAATTTGTGTCCCTATTCACAGATGAGAAAACTGAGACTAAAAGAGGTAAAGATGCATAGGCAAGACTGCTGCAATCACCTAGAAGCAGAACAGGCCTGAAACCCAGTGCCTTTCGGGGTCACCACCATCCTTCCTTACTTAATAAAATGGATTCCTAGGAGGAGCTCTTTGCAGGAAAAAAAATCCCACCGCTCCCACTATCCTCTGCAACTGAAAAAATTGAAAAAAAAAAGGTTTTGGATTAGGTAACAAACAGTATTTCGAAACATGACCTCCTGCTCATTTCCACGCGGCTTACCAGGAAGGGTCGCTGCCAAAGTAAACACCTCTGGGAAGCCCTCACAGTGAGGGAATTGAAGGGAAGCCCCAGCAGCCGGTAACTCCTGCGGCCGCTCAGGCGTCCACCCTACCCAGCCGCGAGAGCCGCGCCCAGCCTCGGGAAGTGTTCTGCACATCAGTCACCCAGCAGGTATCACACGTCAGCCCCTCCGCTCGGCACACGGCAGACCCTGAACCAATGCTGGAGTTCTCATTTCTCAGTCACCAATAATACATCAAATCCTTTCCATCCACATCACACACACACAGAACAGCAATTGAGAGCTAGATCCCAAATCTCCAATTTCAGGGGATGGGATTAACCCTCCAGAGTCAATCTTTTTAATCCTCCTGTCAGCGCTCCAAATCTTTTCCTCCGGTACCACCTCCCCACCTCCCAGGGCTCATCACCTGAGCAACTGCCCCCTGCCTTCCCACCGTGCCCACCACCTCCTTGTCCGCGTCTACAACTCAACGCCACCCTCCGGCTCTCACCTGACCCGCTTCCTTCCCCGCAGTGCCCACCTCCCCTCTCCCTCCCGCGTCCGCGGACACTGCCACCGCGCCCGCACGACGTGTCCTCCTTACCTTGGTCTCCCGAAGGGGTCCCATCGCGCTGCTGCCCGCCGGCACCTCGCGCCGCCGCTGCCGCCGTCCAGGTGGAGGCACCTGCGAGCACCGGAGCGAGGAGGCTGCGCTGAGCCGGCGAGCGCTGCTGGCGACGGCTGCTGCGGGGCCGACGCGCCGCCGCCGCTGCCGCCGTTCGCGCTCGGCTCCGAGGGCGCGCCCGGCCGCCCCGCCCCGGCCGGACACGTGGTGCCGCCGCAGCTCCCAGGGAGCCGCCCCCTCCGCCTGTCTCCTCACCTGCCAGCCCCCGGGGAGGCACAT